ATCAGCTCTTGATGCATGCAAGGAAATGCAATGAATGTAGAACAAGGTAAACTTACCGACTGACCCTGTTGTGCCGTAAACCGTGCGACGGAGAAGTTGATCACGATCGTGAAGTGCGATCGTGGTGAGTTCGTACTTTGTGTCGGGCAGCAGTCTTTTGAGGGTGATACTTCTATGTAGGACATGTGAACTGGTGACCACGAGATTGCCAAATTTAGAAATTGGTATTGCAAGCACCACAATTCTATTCACGCGCTGTGGGATCAACTTTTGGGCTTTCCAACTTAACCGGAAGGTGTTATGCTTCGTGTGCCTCCATTTGAAGTATTTCCAGAACGAGTCTTCTCCTAGCGTTGTGCTTGCTGAAATGAAAGGCATTGCGGTGTAAGCATGTTGCGAGCATGGCTTTTCACTTAGCGCAGGTAATGTGGAGCACTCGCTCCTAACGTAATGCTTCTAGTAGTCACGGGTGAGGGAACTTTGCTAAATCTGCATTCAAAATGCAAGCAGTAAGTGGTTTTTGTTCTTAGGAAACGAGATTTAGAGCAAATGCATCGTCAGGTGTTTAGTTATTCACATCGTCCAAGAGTTGGGTGGGAGAGAGCTGAAGTAGGAAATTCGCATTGACGCCAAAATTGACATGGTCATAGGTGCTTGTGTTAAGTAAACTGAAAAGCGTGTGGAAATCATCAACGTTGATTTACACAGCGTGTTTGGGGACGTGATTGCGGCTGAGGGTGTGGTTGAGGTTAAGCTACATTGCCAGGTCTCTGCGTCAACGCTCTGAGGGCAAATGTAAAAGAGTCTGTTCGAAGTGCAAATTCAAGTGGAACACACCCAGCGAATTGTAAATGCACATGCCACGCACTTGCGCCTGACAGCCGGCGCCAATGTCTGCCTTGGTGGATGTCATTCTCAATACAGATTTGGGAGAAGTGTGTGGTGACAGAGGTGGGTTCGTCCACTACCATCATTAACAAGGGTAGTAGACAGAGAGGAAAGATATGTGTGTGGGCAAGGCGCTAACACGTTGGTGAGGTCATATCCATGGCCATCCAGAATGCTTCGCATCCCTGCAACAAACTCACTTTCTACACTGCAATCGCATAGTCCCCTCTTACTTTCCTGTTATCTTTACAGAGGCTATGTCCCGTGAGTACGCGCATTGAATGCAGTGTCAGTGTAAATATGTGCTTTCGACAATCAGGTGCACAATTTGTACGCATTCATGTCCACTAGGTGTAGTAATAAGTAAGTGTGCGTGGATCTGTGCTTACATTTTCGTATGCACATCCGTGCTTACATAAACTACCTTTCACCACACTCACATGTCATCTGGAGGGCTTCTTCTAAATCACCGGAAATTGTGAAAGGCTCAGAACAAGAGGTGGAACAATAAGTCGACGAATCTACGTAGTGTTGCTGATCCAATGCGACTGTGGTGAAGTTCGTGCTACGAGAACATCATCGTGTAACAAATATTAGAGGGAAAGGCTTGGAAATACATGAAAGTTTTATTGCTATTAAATGCGGTCGAATGCCGTTAACTGCACCATAATTTGATGCGGAGCATGATGACAGTGCGAAAATAAACCGACCTAACAAATGCCACTGTTTGTCAAACACTTACTCACACATGTTGATGATAGACAAATGTGAGAGGCAAGCTTACCCCCTGATCTACGCTGGCCCACAGACAAAGCGGTAGACGCCAACAAAAGTAAGCAAAGGCGAAGCATCATCGTCAACCGTAGGAATGTGTTGCTTTCACAACTCCCCTCAAATTTATAAGAACGCCTTTCAACTTATTAGCCTATGCGATATCATGTCCTTTGCCCACAAATTCACTTCTGCATGAGTGCACTGCACGCATGACCTGATGGGCCGTGTAGGCCATTCCACATGCAGCTACCACGCTTCATGGAATCGAGGTGCACAAAGACGCATTGTAAGTAAAACACAACGTAAATTCACTCCTATCCCCAGAAGTTGACGCCAAAGTATAAATGCCCTTCTGTTGGTCGAGAAACCGTTTCGACATGTAAAGGCTAAGAGTGGATTTGCGGATCCTTTACCAGGTGTAGTCAAGCTTATGCATGGTCCGCAAATATGAGTGGTGCGCCTGTCGTTTGTTTTTGGAGGACATAGTTTGCACCGTGTTTTGGATACTTTTGATGTCGCACCTCCATTTTGACAGTGGTGCAGAAAATCTCCGCTATGGTTCCCGCCAAAATTTGTTTGCATTTAACGGACAGATGGACAGCCAGTGTGAATACGGCTAAATGAATTTGGGAGGAGGTTATGTTGTGCGCTGACAGGTCCCCAATAATGCCTTATTTGCATCTACGATCTCCTGTTAAACTAGACCTACATTTAAGCAGGTGGCACATTGGACGCCACCTTCAATGACGACCCATTGTTTCATTTTGCAGTGCAATGCAATGCAGTGGGATGTGGCATGAAAATGGACATTTTATTTGACGAACACGCACAACTGCGAGCTGTTGTTTGCACGCGACCATTGCTATAAAAGGCATTCTTCTGTCTTTCGACACATCGGGAGTACAGTTAATGTAAGCATGGAAAGTGCTTTAAGCTCATATCAGGCAGGAGGTTGATTGCTTCAATCCAAATTACCTGCCTGCTTCCAGCAGCGCTATTTAACG